TATTGTTAGTGGTCTGCAAGTTTAGCGCAAAACGCATGATTGCATCGACAAGCCTGGCGCGTTGCAGCTTGAGTTGCTCTTGCATCAGGTCGAGTGTCCCGAAAGCACCAAGCTTTCGGTCTCATTCGTTTCATTTCTGTTCAAACAACGACCTGCTGCTTCAAAAAAGATGCTGAAAGTTAATACTTTAAAATGTTTTAACTATTTTACAGTTGAAAATTAGGTTGTGGCAAGGTGGTGTGTGTTGTGTGTTGTGTGTTGTGTATTTGTATGTTTATTTGAATGTGATTCTTGACATTCAGAAGCTAGGACCTGACAAAGTGGGGAATCTTCTAACTGTAGGTTGGAAGTAACATTCTGAAGTTAACAGCAATTTTTTCTGTATGTGAGAACGATCAATCATATCGTGTGGCTCCCAAATTCTGATACTTGCTGGACTGCCTGCTTTTCGTGCACCTCGTAATTAGCCCTTTTTGCTGCTGGAATTACTTCTTCCGCTCAAAAATCGATGTTAAGGCATATTTTAAGAATTAAAATACTGGACGGGATCTGTGTTGATTTGGGCAGGTGTCGTTTTATCAAAAATTTTCGACGTCCCAAAAACTGACACTTTTAGAAACTAGTGCTATAGTAGTCAGTCGCCTGTGCATCAGCAGGTAAACTGTTGGTGATGGTGTGCTTAGCTATTAAGGAACACACTCACTTAAATAAGAAGCTAATCTGTTAAGTATAGAAGAAAATATCAAGCTTTCACGAAACAAAGAAATTTGAACTCAAAAGTTCGAAATTGGCTCCTCCATATTTTGTCATCTGTGGGAGGCTGCAGTATCTGAACGGTAGTCTCATACTGCTGATGATTTTTTCTTTCGGGAATTTCTCACAAGTAAACTTGTTGCTCTTCTGATTCCTTCGCAGTGCTAGCACCAATTTGCTTCGTGACTGATTGAAGATTAGCCACGGTCCGAATCGGATATGAGCTTGAGAGCAGTGTTACTTCTAGCTTCACTGGATTTGCATAAAAATTGGAAGATTGATAAATCGAAAAAAAGAAGGGACTACTGAAAAGAATGGAAAAGCTGCTGAAGGAATGGGACAAGCTGCTGTTTTTTGTAGCTGCTCCAGTAAATAAAGAGGAATTTTGTATTTTCAGCTACACATAGTGCCTTATTCTGGTGATTGGCGCAATTTCAAGCTGCCGCAAGACTACGTGCAACATAGCGAGGCTGAAAAGCGCAAAATCAAATTGGCAGACGCCTACGTAGCACGTTGCTATGATAATTATCTGGCGCACGGGTGCCTTATGTGCGAAAGGACTAAGTACGTTCTGTTACTGTTTTTTTTTTTTTACTACCACATTTTTGTTTGTATTGAATGGCACCTATTTTAAATTACAGGGGCGAGAAACGGATATTCCAAACGTTTCCTCTATTGGATCAGCATATGTACATGGTTCATAAATTCGAATTTTGTTCTATTTGTGTGGAAAATCTGAATTTGTTCACTCGTGAGAGGAGGTTTTATTCACAGAGGGATTTACAAATTCACCTTGAGACAGGCGATCCTGACGACAAAAGCCATAAAGGTGTGTTAAAAACTTTTATTTTTGGAAGGGCGATCGGTACTGATGATCGAACCTGCGGGTGGACAATAGTTTTATGACTTTGAAAAAAGGTTGTACTAGTTATGTGTTTCATTTTCTTCGAAAACAATGATTGGTCCAAAGTAAGTACTTAAAGCGTTAGTTTACTTAAAATTTGGGACATGGAGTTTCCACTGGCTGCAAGGCATTACTTTTAATTTCTGCAACAGCAGTCAAATCTCGTGTATGGTATCATTAGTTTTTTGACAGCGAGTTCATTTTTTGCCATAACATGACATTGAATTCCCTTTTTTTCATTTCCTTTCTTCGAAGCTGAGAGTTTAGTGTGAGATATTTCATATAAAAAGCTTTAAAAATTTG